TTCAGCCATTATTTTTTTTTAAATATCCTTTCTGTCCCTTTCTCTCTTTTTCTTCTAGGACTTCCATGATGGATATTTAGTCAGCTTGATGATATTTTACAGCTTCCTTAGGTCCTCTTCACTTTTCTTCCATTTTTCTCTTTCTGTTCTTTAGACTTGATACTTTCTGTTCCATCTTAAAGTTCATGGATTCATTCTTTTGCCTCCTCAAATCTGTCTTTAAATTCTCTTAGTGCATTTTAAAATTTTAGTTATTGCAGCTTTCAGTTCCTTTGAGTTTTTGTATTTTTCGGCTTCTTTTTTGTTTCTTGGCAGGTTTTATGTCTCTTTATTAATATTGCCATTTTGTCTGCACCTTGTTTTCTTGGCTTTCTTTAGTTCTTTGAGCATATTTAAAACAAATTTTTAAAAGTCTTTGATTTTACTCTGCCGTCAGGTCTTTTCAGGGATAATTTGTATTGATTTATCTTTGTCCTTTGAATGGTGCATACTTTTGCTTCTTTGTATGTCTTATGATTTTCTTTCTTTTTTATTTCGAAAAGTAGACATTTGAATTTAATAATGTAATTCTAGAAATCACATTCTCCTTCTTCCCAAGGGTTTGCTGGGGTTTTTACATTGTTTTTATTTATTGTTTTTTTGATTTTTGTAGTTTTTGTGTCAAGGATAAGGCATTTTTCAGCCTATATCTCTCTCTGGGCATGTATGGTAACTTTCTAATTTTCCCCATATATACAGTTGCTTTTAAATGTTCTAATCTTTAATGTCTGGCTTCCAAAAGGTGGGAAAGAAAAAAAAGGAATCACAGGAAAAAGAGGGCTCCACCCTTTAATCCTCCAGCTGTCACTTCAGCCAGATAAGGAGGGGCAAGCTACAGTGTGGGGACAGAGGCTCAACAATGGCCTCCTGCTTCTTTGTTGGCACCTGTGTGATCAGAAGGAGTAACCAGGGATCAGAGCACAGATCCTTTATGTTTGGAAGATGAGGGGATTGGGAGGTTGGCCCACTTTGACTCCTGCAGGCTGTGTGCTGCTTGCTTCAGGAGCACAATGCACAGCTGCCTGCCACAGGACTGGGATTTGGGGAGAGGCAGCTGCTAATCTGCTAAGGGCTGACATTGACCCAAATTAACTGTGATTTAAGCTCCAAGCCTTTCTTTGGAAGTTGTAAGCCCAACAATAGACCCCAAAGTTGCCAACAGATTCTGCTAGTACAATTGTTGTCTAGATGAGGAAATAGATCCCTGGTACTTTCTACTTTACTGTCTTCCCAGAATCCTTTACTGGGGTTTCTCATTTTTTCATTCATTCTTAATGTATTTTTATTCATATCATGGAGCGTAGTTATAATAGCTACTTTTCTACAGCCATCATCTGAGAATATGAACATCCGAGTCATCTTGAGGTTGGCATCTGTTGATCGTATTTTCCTTTGAGATTTAGTCACATTTTCCTCTTTTTTGACACATTGGATAATTTTGTGTCTTGGACAACATAGTCTGTGTAGCTGTATTCAATCATTTCTTTTCTGCACAAAACTTAACATTTAAATGAGCTTATTCTGTCGAATACAAGATACACAATCTAGGTTTTGTTGAGAAAGAAATATGTTCATTTTTGAAAGTATGCGTTTCTCAGTATTATGTTTTTCAAACTGGGTTCAGTGAAACACTATTGTTTTCTTAGTCTATAATAAAAAACATGTTGCATAATCAAACAAGTTAAAAGTAAGGTAATCAAATAAGTTAAAGTTAAAAATAAAACTGTGCAGAGCATAATACATGTGTAATAAAGTGATAGTTTCCAAATGGAGGACAATTTAAACTATATTCTTCCCTCAGTTAAATTATTAATCTAGGGAAAACAATAGTATTACATGGTTTGGAAAATGCAACTATAGTGCCGTCAAAATAAATCCAAACTTGCAGAAACATAGCTATTGTATAATGCCAAATGTACAATATAATGTATATTTTTAATTTAACATAGTTACTATTTTATTTGTTACCAAATAATTGAATGTATATCCCTTTTATGTATTTCTTACACTTATACTTCTTGTCATAAGAATTATTACATGAAAAGGTCATCTTAGTAGGGTAGCATAATTTTTGTAAGAGGATATAAACCATTATAAGGTGAGTCATTAGTTGCACAGTTTTCTAGAATAGATATACTTATCCTTTTTTTTTTTTTTTTTTTTGAGATGAAGTCTTATTCTGTTGCCCAAGCTGGAGTACAGCGGCATGATCTCAGCTCACTGCAACCTCTGCCTCCGGTTCAAGCAATTCTCCTGCTTCAGACAGGTGCACACCACCATGCCCAGCTAATTTTTGTATTTTTAACAGAGACAGTGTTTCACTAGGTTGATCAGGCTGGTCCTGAACTTCTGACCTTGTGATCTGCTTGCCTTAGCTTCCCAAAGTGCTGGGATTAAGGGCTTGAGCCACCATGCCCAGCCATATATATATATATGTATGTATGTATGTATTTTTTAAAATGTTTTAATTTTAGATTCAGGGCATACATGTGCAGGTTTTTTACAAGGATATATTGAGTGGTGCTGAGGTTTGGGCTTCCATTAATCCCATAACCCAGAAACTGAACGTAGTACCCAACAGGAAGTTTTTCAGCCCTTGTTTCACTCCCCCCCTCCCTCCTTTTGGAGTCCCCAGTTTCTCATGTTCCCATCTTTATATGAACCCAAGACTTAGCTCCCACTTGTAAGTGTGAATGTGTGATATTAGATTTTCTGTTTCTGCATAGAATAACAGTCTCTAGCTGCTTCCATGCTTTTGCAATGGATATGACTTTATTGTTTTTATGTCGTTTTCGTATTCCATGGGGTATATGGACCACATTTTCTTTCTCCAGTCCACTGTTGATGGACATCTAGGTTTATTCCATGCCTTTGCTATTGTGAATGGTGCTGTGATGAGCAAAAAGTGCCTGTGTCTTTTTAGTAGAATTTCTTTTCCTTTGAATATATATTCTGACTAATGAGATTGCTGCATTGAATGGTATTTCTGTTTCTAGTTCATTGAGAAATCTCCAAACTGCTCTCCACAGTGGCTGGGCTAATTTGCATTCCCACCAACAGTGTATAAGCATTCCCTTTTCTCCACAAACTCCCTATCACCTGTTATTTTTTGACATTTTAATAATAAGCCCTTCTTACTGGTGTAAGATGGCATCTCATTGTGGTTTTGATCTGCATGTTTAGTCATGCGAGCACTTTTTTTATGTTTGTTAGCTGCTTGTTTATCTTCTTTTGGGAAATGTTTGTTCTTGCCCTTTGCCACTTTTTAATGAGGTTATTTCTTTTTTTTTCTTGGTGATTCATTTAAGTCCCTTATAGATTCTGGATATTAGTCCTTTGTCAGATGCATAGTTTACAAATATTTTCTCCCATTCTGTGGGTTATCTGTTTATTCTTATTGAGAGTTTCTTCTGTTGTGTAGAAGCTCTTTGCCGTAAGTCTCATTTGTCTATTTTTGTTTTCGTTGCATTTGCTTTTAGGGACTTCATCATAAATTATTTGCCTAGACCAATGCCTAAAAGAGTATTTCCTAGCTTTTCTTCCAGAATTTTTATAGTCTAAGATCTTAAGTTTTTAAATCCATCTCGAGTTAGTTTTTATGTACAGTGAGAGGTAGGGATCCAGTGTCACTCTTCTGCATATGGTTGGCCAGTGTTCCTAACACTGTTGATTGAATAGGGTGTCCTTTCTCCATTGTTTATTTTTGTTGACTTTATGGAAGATGAGTTGGTTGTAGGTATGCAGCTTTATTTCAAGGGTCTCTATTCTGATCCATTGATCTGTGTATCTATTTTTGTACTGTGCTGTTTTGGTAACTATAGCCTTGTAGTATAGTTAGAAGCCCAGTAATATGATACCTCTGGTTTTGTTCTTTTTACTTAGGATTGCTTGGCTATTTGGGCTCTTTTTTGTTTTATGTGAATCGTAGAAGAGCTTTTTCTAGTTCTGTGAGAAATGATGTTGGTAATTTGATATTAACAGCATTGAATCAGTAGATTGCTTTGGGCAGTATGGACATTTTAATGATATTGATTCTTCCAACCCATGAACATGGAATACCTTTCCATTTGTTTGTGTCGTCTGTGATTTCTTTCAGCAGTGTTTTGTAGTTCTCCTCACAGAGATCATTCACCTTCTTGGTATTCCTAGGGATGGATTTATTTATTTATTTATTACTGTGGCTATTGGGTACACATGTAGTTTTTTTTTTTTTTTTTTAAATATTCTGTGTTAAAGAGAAAAATCAATGTGAGGGAAAGGATGTTGCCCAGGATGATGGGTACAATTTTAAATATGGTTGTTATTTGAAAGATGTCATTGGAAATAGGAATTTCAGGAGATGAGAAAGAGAAGCCACGAGTAAATCTAAGAGGTCATATCCTGCCTGAAGTGTGAGCAAGTCTGATGTATTCAGGGAACAACTGGAAGCTCACACAGCTAAAATGGCTCAAGGGAGGGAATCATAGTAGAAGTTACTCAGAGATAAACCGGTGGGGACCAGCCCCTCTAGGGACTTGTAGAACTTTGTAAGACTTTGAATTTTTCTCTGATTAAAATGGGAAGTTAACACAGACTTTTGGCTAGAGGATTCATGTTTTAGAGCTTGTCCAACTTGCCTTATTTTGTTGTTGTTGTTCTGTTTTTCTTTGTTTCAGGCTTTTAACAGCCTGGAGCCATGGTTTTTAGTTTCTGTGTCTAGTGATAAGCAGAAAAGAGGGATGAGGTCTATAATCCCAGTACTTTGGGAGGCCAACGTGGGTGGATCACAAGGAAAGGAGTTTGAGATCAGCCTGACCAACATTGTGAAACCCCATCTCTACTGAAAATACAAAAACTAGCTGGGCATGGTGACATGTGCCTGTAATCCCAGCTACTCAGGAGGCTGAGGGAGGAAAATCACTTAAACCCAGGAGGCGGATGTTGCAGTGAGCCAAGATTGTGCCACTGCAGTCCAGCCTGGATGACAGAGCAAGACTCCATCTTAAAAAATAAATAAATAAAAATAAAATAAAAAAGAGGGTTGAGGAAGAGGCTTTACTGGCCCAACCAGAAACAGAAACTAAGAACCCATGACTGTGTTTTCTCCCTTGGACACCCCTGTAAGAAGCTCTGACAACTAGGAGGAGACTATGAGAAGCAATGTGGAGTGTCAGAGACCTTTCAGAGTTAAGAAGAGATGGTAATGGCTTGAACCTCTGTGTATGCAGCGGAGCTGCTGAGAAGCGGTCATATTCTAGAATTATTTTGAAACATATGCCAGTGGAATTTGCTAATGGGCTGGGTATGGACTTTGAGAGAAAACAAGAAATTGAGAGCAGTCCCACGATTTTTGGACTGAGCAATAAGAAGGGATTGCCATTAGCTTGATAGGTGGAAGCAGTTTGGTGAAAGATTGGGAAGTAAGAATTCTGGTTTGGTTATGTTGGATTTGACTGGTCTGTTCCTTCATAATTGAGAGGCAGACACAGGAGTCTAGTAGTCTCAGGGCAGAAAGTGGAGAGTGAGGCTGTGAGTGTTAGAAAGTCTAACAGTATGAGTTCAGCTGGGACCTAAACCACAGTCGAATGCGAGCAGAAGAGTTTATTATAATGAATGATTAACCTATGAAGGAAGAGTACAAGAATGTAGTGATAACTTTAACAGCACCCTAGGTCTGAGTAAGCATATCGAAGTTTGGATAAGGTTAGAAGAGGGTCCCCTCTCTAAGGCTGGGGTGCAGATCTCACCGGAGAAGGTATGGTTGCAGCCCACTGGTTTGCCTGGGCCATAGCTGGTCATATCTCTGGGCAAACAGGAAACACTTCTAGGGGCAAGTGAGCTCCAGCTAGTGGGCAGGGATGCAGGAGTTAGGATCTACAGTGAACATGAAGCCCAGAGTAGACAGTGTACATGTTGGGAGGGCCCAGGAAACAATTTACAGGGTGCAGGTGAGCCGTGGCTGGCGTAGGTGCACAGCGCATGGTGTCTGCATTGGGGGCAAAGCAGTCACTGAGTCTAGGCTGGGACTGCAAGGCTGCCAAAGGGCTCTGCACTCTGGGTATGCCGCTGGGGTGTGGCAGAGCACCCCCAGATGTCATTATACACCCACCCTGGTGACCAACTGTGCTGCAGAGAAAGCAAACTACATGCCAGATTCAGGAAGAGGAGCCCACTTCCTCCAGCAGTGTCCTACCATCGCCTCTTACTGGCAAAGCATAACATCATGTTTGCTATAAAGGATGAGCTCCTGAGCCCAGCCCATCATCTCGGATTCAGTTCTGTAAGGTCAACTGGGGATGAGAGGCCGTAACTTGCACAGATGGTAGGGAGGGTTGAGGTTTTTGGAGGTTTGGTCTTATCTGGCATGTCTGTCACATGTGTTTGTGACTTCATGTGGTAGCTGTCATGCTCATATGAAAGTGTCTCTAGAAAGAAAAAGTGATATACACATGCTTAGACTTGGCTTGAGTCCTCTTTGGAAATCTTTCCAACTTGATCGTGTTGGTATAACGGTAATTATTAATTTCAGGTCTGTCACAGTGTTTGAATGATAACTGACTGCTCTTAATTTTGCCTTAATTGTTTAATAATAACATTGGAGGGGATGTGTAAATTTTATCTAGAAAAAATAATCATTAAACTCAATTTTTAAATTAAATATATGAGTAACAATCTTATTTGGCATTGCACTTCTTATTCTTGAAGAAAAAATATATTGCTAACCTAAATCCTTTCCCATAAATACAGCACACTTTCTTTTTGCCAGATGCTTAAATGTCATTGGTCTGGTTTAAAGTAGTTCTATTTGATCTCTGTGAAACAGATGGAAGTATTTGTTATACAAACCTTATTTAGAATGTAATCTTTTTTTCTCTCCTGATTGCATATGTTTGGCAGTGAGCTTTCTCTTCTAGATGTGAATGAATCTTGGGCAGCCTCCAAATCTAAACACACCCTAATTTCAAAAACCACAATCCTGAGGACTCAATTCCTGTTTACTGAGGAATTAAAACCTAGTGAAACCACATAGTTACTAAATGCAGTCCAACCTAGTGAGTTTTTAAAAACAAAAATCTTTATAGTTTATTTAGGGTTATTGACTGTCATTAAGTTCAGAGAGTAGCATCTTTTCCTAAGCAGTATATAATATTTACAGTTGGTTAAATATATCTATTGCTTCCGATTCTTGAAATATATTCCTTATATGGCAAAGTGAGCTTGTGGGATGGATTGGAAGTGGTAGACTGGTGTGGGGAATGGGGGAGGAGCTGAGGAAAATTACTTTTTTTTTTAAGTGTGTTGAATGACTAATGTCGATTCAAAAATGTGTCTGTTAAAATATTTATGTGTAATTATCAGCTGAATTATGCTTTTCTGAAAATCTTTCAAGTTTTTTTCTTTCATATTTATGAAACAAGTAAACAAATGGTCTTAAATATTAAAACCAAACCAAAGCCTGGACATGAATACTTAGAAGTTCAACTGAAGGAAAAAAAAGTAAAAAAAGATAAGAAGGGAAAAAATTCAACACCCTTTTGGAATTATAAACAGTTCTAATCCAATTAGAAGGAGGAAAAAAAGCAGGTAGGGTAGAAAGAATTTGAGGTCTAAATTTACACTTCTCAGGATTGGATTTCATAGGCATACTTTATAGTTTTAGCAATCTTTACTTAAAGATTACTAGGGTAGTAGTTGACATACCATAAACTTTCATCTGGAAGAAGGATATCATGCATGCCACAGGATACGGCATCCTCAAAAGTATATACCATATTATGTTACTGAAAATAAATTGGATTAACTATTTCGTGTTCCCGTAACTTCCTAGAGGAATTTAATTGATTCATGTTTTAAGCAACATTTAATCATCAGTTTCTTCAAACAAAAATGGGAGGAGTATTGACTTTCTCCATGTAGCTGTTTTAAAACCATACTCTCATATTTCGTTGTTTTATTGAGTTGGTTCATGGAATCCCTGCAAGTATGATCATTTTTAACCATAAACGTGCTTAAGGTGAATTTCAGAATTAAAAAAAAAAGAAAAGCTTTAGATCTTAAATCACTTACAGGTTGACTCTATAGACTTAATAACAACCAGAAATTATACTTCTTTCTTGTTAATCTAGGGTATGACACTGACTGTCAAATCATAAAATTATTGACTGAGTTTTTGATAGTTATGCTTCTTTTGGATAAACCAGCTGTCTTGTATAATTCCTGGAAAATAAAAATTAAAAGATCAGCACAGCTGTATTGGAAATATATGACCCAGGATTTCGTAGATATTGTTCCTGTTATTTTATTTTTTTAAGAGACTGGGTCTTGCCCTTTTGGCCAGGCTGAAGTCCAGTGGTGTGATCATAGCTCACTATAGCCTTGAACTCCTAAACTCAAGTGATCCTCTTGCCTCACCCTCTCAAAAAGCTGGAACTACAGAATGCATCTCCACGCTGGCTTTCTCTTATTTTAATGTGATATTTTAATTTTATTAGTTGGCATCCAAAAGACTGACATTGTAGAAGTGTGAGCAGTTTCACGTTCACGTTGTAAAATTTATGGCCATTTACTTTTTGCAGGTAGGTCGGTTCTCTGAGCACTTCTCTTTCCCGTTTGTTTTTAACTTTGCATGGTCTGTCCCTTTACCATTTGTAGCCCTGTTCTTTCCAGCCATCTGCCCTCTTCGTTCCTCAAAACCATGCAGATCCTACCACTAGAACAGCATTCACAGGTGCTCATTCAGACAAGAGATTTCCACTTACCATCTCCTTCTAGTAACAGTCTCCTGGATCTTCGTTTTCATTATTTTCTTCCTTAGGAATTCTATGTATCAAATCCTTCCATTTCAGGCTCATACAGCAACATGCTCGTCATCTTTAGAATACTAATAAACCCGACATTCTACACATGCTCACATGTTTTTACTCCCATTCTCTCTGATCTGATGAAAGTTCTGTTGTTTTTCCTTAGTATTGTTATCTCCTTGGCACATAGTAACCACTACAAAAAACATTTACTAAATGAATGCAAATAATTGTTTATGGCAGTTAGAACACTACCCTTGACAAGTTCTCTTAAATAGAATTTCTTTTAAAATACCAAGGCTTTGATCATGATTTTAATGACGGCATTGTTTCTTGGAAGAAAGAGTAATTCTGTGATCAGATGTTCCACATAGTAAATTTGATTATCAGTGTTTACTTTTACATTTGAAATAAAGACTAATGCTTTCTTGGTCATTGTAACAGAAAGCAGAGTCTCTAACAATGTATTATGGAATCTGTTACCCCAAGTAAAATGCACTTGTTGAACTCATTGGATTGATGCCCTGCACAGTTTACCTCTGTACTTCCCAGCACATCAAGATTAATGTCTTCCTTATATGTCAATGCAGAAGACTTAAGAGATTATTTTTAGAACTCCACAGCACTTCTTCCTGTTCCTGACCTTTTCCTTCTCCTCACCCACCCACGCATCTTGTTCTAAAGTACAAGACTCAATACAGAAATTAATCCCTTGGAATTTGCTATGTCACTTCATATTGCAACATTTGCTTTTTAGATTACCAGTTACCACTTATCCTTTCTTTTGGGTGGTCTTTACTAAGTGAGCTGTCTACAAAAAGATGAATCATCCTGGATGGGTATTGTTAGAGCAGATCATTAGTTCTCCATTCTACCCATCCGATGCTTCCTTTTTCTCCCATCCAAGTGGGGACCACTGATGCTCCCTTTTTCTAACACATATGCAGAATTCCTTTTTCACTATTCTGAAAAGAAATTTATGGATAATACAATCTATCTATATGTATAACTTAAGTCATCTAATGTCTGCACTTAATATAAAGTAGTGCAGTAATGTATAATATTATATGATGCATTTAATCGTGTAAATGCTTACGTATGATTGAACCAGAAGATGTAAAGAAGCAGAAAGATATTTGTTAAGTATTTATAATCACCTTGAATACCATATCTAACAACGGTTTTATCGCCACTAATAAGATTTTCCAAAATAGTTAACAGTTAGTAAATTTGAAGTATAGTTTTTCTTAGATACTGAAACATGGCTTCATTCCTGGACAGCTCTGTGTACGTTAAAATATAAGTAGGGGGCTAGGGGAGGGATAGCATTAGGAGAAGTGCCTAATATAGATGATGGGTCGATGGATGCAGCAAACCACCAAGGCACGTGTATACCTATGTAACAAACCTGCATGTTCTGCACATGTATCCCAAAACTTAAAGTATATAAATAATAAATATGATATAATATATTTAAATATTAAAATAATACATATAAAATAATGTATATTGGCTGGGCATAGTGGCTCACACCTGTAATCACAGCACTTTGGGAGACCGAGGTAGGTGGAACACTTGAGATCAGGAGTTCGAGACCAGCCTGGCCAACATGGTGAAACCCTGTCTCTACTAAAAATACAAATACAAAAATTAGGTGGGTACTTGATGTGTGCCTATAGTTCCAGCTACTAAGAAGGCTAAGGCAGGAGAATTGCTTGAACCCAGGAGGGTGGAGGTCGAAGTGAGCTGAGATTGAGCCGCTGCACTCCAGCCTGGGTGACAGAGTGACACTCCATCTCAAAAAAAAAAAAAAAAAAAAGAAAAAGAAAAAGAAAAAAAGAAAAGAAAAAATAGTGTATATTAACATCCTGAAAAATACTCTATGTGTACATGTTTTATTTCAAACTATGCTTTTGTACATAGAAAGCTACCAAGGAAGATGCTGGGTATCTATTACTCTCCTCTGCAAGGAAAATGTAATGTTTTGGGGCAGCTACAATATGCATACAATTTTAATTATCATATAAGAATTCAACTGCTAACATTCTGTGAATAGTAGTTTAACAGAAGACACATCATGAGGCACTTTAAGTACCAACCTTTAAAAAGGGGGGGTAGATTATAAAGACTGTGGTGTTTGGGGAGGGGAAATATGGCATCCATCTGTAGTGAGGAATGCAAATACTGTTTGAATGGAAAGGAGAGAGAGGGAGGGTCGCTCTATTATGTCTGTGCCAGATTCACATTTCCCTGAGAAATGCTAGGTTCAACTACTGACCTATTTTAAATCACGGGCCTGTCTTCAATATATACTGACCTGAAATGAAAAAATATTCCAACTTTCTGCTGTTTAAAAAGAGAGAGGGAAGAGGAGAAGCAAACAGATCACTATGATTGTTGTCCTCAAATTCTTTATAAAAATAGCTGCAGAATAAATCCTTAATAAATATAAAAAATTTGGAATACTTTCATGTTGGTTTAATCCTAGCTTTGATCCTTCTGCTGTTTTTTTCTCATGCTTTTAGCTCTAAATGTAAACCTGTTCAATAATGGAAACACTTGTTTGCTTCTCCTTTTATTATGACTTCTTTTGGCCTCTCAAGAGGTCATCCCTCAGAAGAACATGGATTGCACATCTTTGTGTGTGATGTTGAATTGTTTGTAAGTTTCCCGTCTGCCTCTCCCAGCCATTGTTTTTACGTGAAGTCTATTCTTCTGCGGTGTGCCTCATTTTTCTCTTTGAGAACATTAACGCACCTTTTAGCTTACTGGAGTACAGAAAGTGTTTTCTGTACATTCACTCTTTAATAACTATTCAGCCCTTCTGGGAGGACAGTTTCTTCTGACACACATAGAGTAAACATTTTCCAGTAATTTTCCTTGATGGCAGGCAAGCATTAGGGAAATGGTGCAGTTGGCTAGCAACCCCAGTAAATTTTGCCAACCTGATGCCATAAATGTTCACTAGACTGTCTTTAAATTCCTTTATTCTGCTGATGTTACAGGAATGTACTTAAGACTAAGCATAGTGTAGTTTATGTATAAGACTTTTAGGTTTGTCCTGTGTGGTCATATAAGGTAGAGGTTTTTGAATGGTAGCAAACATAATTGTTCTCATTCCTCCTAAAAACCTGGGTTATTACTGAAGCTGGGTCCTAACTTAAAATTATGCATGAACAGTAAAAACATTTGATGGTTTTGATGTATTATGTTTGATAGGGTCATCAACCTCCCCTTCTTACTGCCCATGATTGCAACTGAAATTTAACTAGGCAATAAATTTATTAAAGGAATAAATAGTCAACTCTCTTAAAAAGGATGTAGAACTCCTATCATGTTTTTCTTCACTGAACTTATTTAGGGACTTGAGTGATTCCAGATGGTATTACATGCGTATTTGGCTCTGAATTTCTTGTTTTCTCACGTTTGCCAACATCCAAGTGTTCAAGACTTTCAGGTCCCCGAGGAGCTGTTCAGCCATTGGACATACAACTTTAGGTTGCTATGGTATATTTGATCATTCTTTTGAAAGTTCTCCTCATCCTTTGGCATTTGAAAATATTAAAATTATTTAATGTAACCTGGAGAAGAAATACCTGTGGAGCTGTAGTATGTGAGTTGGCGGACCATAGAAAGCATATCTCTTGAAAAGCTGGTTTGCAAGATTAGATGAGATCAACAAGTAGTATGTAGACCACCCATAAACTCTTGAATGTGGTATATGTAAAAACGTATTTAAGTGGCCCTTTAATAATGCAAAAGTATTTTCTCTTAAATATGCTTGGAAGTCCCCAGTCCGAAACAGAAGAAAGGCCATTTCATGCATGTGTATAGATTTTTACGTGGTCAAATAAAATGAGAGAACCTAACCATCAGATTTTTCCCCTCCAATAAATATTTAGAGTGTGTGTACTGTGTGCCTTGTTGGTATTATAAAAATGAATATTATATTCACCTCTTTAAAGAGCTTTGGATGTAATGTGGGTGACAAACATGAAACCAAATAATTGCAGTCTAATGTTCTTAAAGGCTAGATAGAGTTCTTTGGAACGAGTGGGACAGTTGCTGAAAAGGCAAGGAGGATTTGATCTTGGGGAAGTAAAATGATGTTCATAGAGAGGCAGTATCTAGGATTATTCTTAAGTGTTGGTGAGTAATATGTTACAGAGAAGAGATAAAGTCCCAGCAGATGGAGCAGTATGATCAAAGGCATGGATGTAATAATCTATACAGCTAGTACTCGACTTACGACCACGATTGGTTCCGACAGACCAGCCTTAACACGATTTGGTCGTAAGTTGAGTAGGCTGTATGCACGCAGAGATGGTAGTGCTACCGGAAGCTGGTCCGCACTGTCGTATGTCCAGCTGGGCAACGTTTGCGCTGCCAGACGCAGAGCAGTCGTGGCTAGCAATTGTGGTCATAAAGTCGAATGGTCGTAAGTTGCATAGGTCGTAAGTTGATCAATACCTGTAATGTGTTTTAGGCAAAGAGTTTTACGTGGCTGGAAAGTAGTGCATAGGGAAATGGGAGTTGGAGGAGAGGCAGGGATTGAGACTGGCAGGGATGAGTGTATAAGGGTCGCTCTGGGGTAGCAGTGCGAGTGAGAGGGAGAAGTCTGGGTTTCTGAGACTTTTTTCAGGGGAAGACTCAACAGGAAATGTTGCTAACGGGATGTGGGAGAGAGGAGACCATAAGCTGGCTTCTTTCTTGGGTGTTTGGACTGGATCACCATAGCCAGGATTGGATGTTCAAAATAATGAACATATTTGGGGACAAAATGGAATGGATGATCAGTGGGTCATTTTGTTCCTTTTTTTCTTTCAAGTTTTTATTTTAGAATCATTATAGAGTCAGAGGGCTTTGTAAAAATAGTACACTGTGTCCCATATACCCAGGTTTCCCCAGTGATAACATCTTATAAAACTATAGTATAACATCAAAACCCGGAAATTTACATTGGTGTGATCCATGGACCTTTTTTAGATTTCACCAGTTTTGCATGCACTCCTAGTGGGTGTAGGCATGCATGTACACACGTGTGTGTATATTGTTCTATGCACTTTTATCACATATTGATTTATATAACTGTCAGCACAGTCAAGATGTAGAATGATCCCACCACCCAAACGATCCCTGTGCTACCCCCTTTGAATTACCACATCCTTTTCTTCCTCCCTAAACCCTGGTCGTCAATAATCTGTTTCCATCCCTATAATTTTGTGATTTTGGAATGTGATATAAATGGAATCATATGGCATATAACCTTTTAAGATTAGCTTTTTTTCACTCAGTATAATTTCCACGAGATCCACTGAAGTGTTGAATGCATCAGTAGTTCATTTCATTTTATTCTCAAGTAGTACTTCATGGTATGAACATACTAACGTTTGTTTAATCTTTCACCTCCTGAAAGACATTTGGGGTGTTTTGAGTTTTCGTGTATTACACATAAAACTGTTATGAACATTTATGTACATAATGTTTTTCCATGTGGACTTAGGTTTTATCTGTGATAAATGCCCAGGACTGCAATTGTTGTGTTGTAAGTTGTGTATATTTAACGTTTTAAGAAACTGACAAACTGTTTTCCAGAATGGCAGTACCATTTTACATTCTCAACAGCAATATATGAGAGATCCAGTTTTGCTGCATCCGTGGTATTGTGACTGGTTTTTATTCTAGCTGTTACAATGGATTCATAGTGGTATTCCATCATGATTTTAATTTGCGTTTCCCTAATGGCGAATGATGTTGAACATCATTTCGTATGCTAACTTGTCACCCATGTCTTCTCTTTGGCGATATGTCTGTTTATATCTTTTTCCCATTTTCTAATTAGATTGAGTTGATCATGTGTACCACCTCAAATCACCTCTTTCTGTCTTGTTGCCGTCAGGTGGAGGTGAAAGTCTGGCTGCCCACTTGGCCCCCAGATGCCAGGTTGATGGGAAGTTGGAGCAGGCATTGTATTAAGTAGCACTGCCTCATACCCGCTTGCCCCACCTCATAGCTGCTGGAGTGACAGTTCAGCTCTTCATTTGGCCGCAATAACACCTCAGTGGAACAGTTCTTCATTTGGTGTTTGGTATAGGGCAGGTATTAAGAGAAAGGTTTTTTTACTCTGTCAGACCACCTTTTTCCTAGTCCTTTGGCTGGAGGAAGGAAGCAGGCTTTCCTTTTTCTTTCTTTTTTTTTTTTTCCTGTGTCTGATGGTGGTTCCAGATTCTGAGCTTCTCTATCACCCCACCTGGGATAAATGAAAAGAAAATAGAAGACTCAGGAACTTCATCGCCACGCTGTTAATCACGTTGTGAGGTCCTTGGCTGGTCTACCTTCTTTTCATCCTTCATTGCTTCCCTGTGTTTGTTTGTACCATTACGTCTAGGTATTATTCTAAAAATAATGGTTAATCATTAAAAAGTTTTGAGTAGGATATACATGCTCTGATTTGCATCTTCTAAAAACAATCACATTAAGTACTTCATAGAACATGTATTAAAGAGAGCCAGGGATGATTTCGGGGAGGCCAGTCAGGATATTGGAGTAGTTGAGTTGGGAGATGGCAGTAGCTTGGACAAGGACGATGGCAGTGGAGGTGGGTCTGAGACTCAGTGACTCATTGGATGTGGAAGTGAAATATGGGTAGATGTTTAGGATAACCACAGCTCTCTGGATGGGTGACTAGTTTTCCAGTTTACTGGAATGAGGATCCATGAAGGTTCAGAGGAAGAAAACCTGACTTGATTTTTAAACATGTTTTATCTAAGGTGCTTAGCTTAAGTTAGTGTTCCAGAGAATACTAACTTAAATAGTTTTTGTATACTGGAACAACGTCATTTTGGAAGGAGCTTTCTTAACAGAAGTGAAAAAGACGGAGAGGGAAGGTTTTTTAGTTGAATGTTCAGAACCTGGAATTCTTTTTTTTTTTTTTTTTTTTTTTTGAGAGGGAGTCTTGCTCTATCACCCGGGCTGGAGTGCAATGGTGCGATGCTCACTGAAACCTCTGCCCTCCAGGGTTCAAGCTATTCTCCTGCCTCAGCTTCTTGAGTAGCTGGGATTACAGGCACCTGCCTCCACACTCGGCTAATGTTTTGTATTTTAAGTAGAGACGGGGTTTCACTGCGTTAGCCAGGATGGTCTTGATCTCCTGACTTCGTGATCCGCCTGCCTTGGTCTCCCAAAGTGCTGGGATTACAGACATGAGCCACTGTGCCTGGCCCTGGGACCTGGAAATTATTTCATGTGATTAATCAATGTGTAAGTGTGTGGCCACTTTGTTCATGTATTTGGCCATAAGAAACAATGAGCCTATTTCAACATTTGACAAAGAGTTGCTTAGCACCATTCATAAACTCAGCAGAAACGGATATCAATTCAATATCAGGATCCACCTTTTTCCCCTCCACCACAAATGAAACATCTTCCTTTCTATAGAATTAATTTTTATTTTTCCCCAGGAGTTGAAATAGTACAATTCAGTTGCAGATGGTATATGGGTCTGGGGTGGTGGAGGTTAAAGCACTTGGTGAAATCTGCAACGACATCGAGGAATCTGAATCTGTACTGGCTGGTGGTGACTGGTGAAAGCATCCAGGTTAGCAGCACCTGGGGTCTGTTTCATTTATAGGCAGACACAGTAAATATTGAGAAAGGAACATTCTGTTACAAATCTGCAAATGATCTGCAAATGATCAGGGTGAGAGTGGGAAGGGGTGAAAGGAAGCAGCAAAAAGATGGTTTTCGTAGACTGAAACGATGTCGTCTTGGAAGAGACTTTCCCTGATGGAAGTGAAAAACACTGGGAGAAGATTTGTTGTTAGTTGAAGGTTTGGAACCTGGATATTCTTTTATGTGATTAATTAATGGGTAAGTGTGTAGCCACTTTGCTTATGTATTTGGCCATAAGGAAGAAAGAGCCTGTTTGAATAAATGGCTCACATTTGTGCCATGTAAATTGTAAAGAGCCAGGTACTTAGCACAGAAGACAAAAGAGGAAAGTTGTAGCTTCCTCACATATCCAAAAGAGATTTGAAAATGACCCTAGAGAGTGGACCTAGGATCAATAGCTGAAAGTAGGGGAAATGTTTTGTTTAGTATAAAGTAGACCGTATTTTTGGTGTTTCTGAACACTGTTATTTAAAGATGTGATAACCAGTTTAGGAAGACAATGAATTTTGTCACTAAAAGTGCTTAAGTTCTTTTCTTTTGTCTTTCCCTCCCTCCCTCCCTTTCTCTCTCTCTCTTTCTTTTTCTTTCTTTCTTTCCTTTTCTTTTCTTTCTTCTTTTCTTTTCTTCTCCTTCATTTCCGTTTCTTTCCCCTCCCTTCCTTCCTTCCTTCCTTCCTTCCTTCCTTCCTTCCTTCCTTCCTTCTTTTTCTTTCTGCTTTGCTTCTTTTCCTTCCTTTCTTCCTTCTTTCTTTCCTTTGGGAGTGGGTGGTTGAAGAGAATTTAACGATCAGCTAGATAGGAAGGTTTTACCAAACATTAGTTCACAGTGTCTGCTCCACAGATGCCCAATTCCTGCCATTCTTTTTGAGGGGATCTGCAAGGTTGAAACCATTTTCCTGATAACACTAAGATGGTATTTGCCTCCTTGACAGTGTAAACAGTTGTGCTGATTATGCAAAAGCAGTGGTAGGTAAAAACACTGATTCCTTCAGCAAGAATCAAGGCAGTAACACCAAGCTAAGTTGTTATTGTAATTCACCACTCTACTCTCACAGGGGGAAAAAAGTCATTTTATTGCTCTGCTAGAGCAATAAAAATGATCTCTTTATTAAAACACGGCTATTTAATATGTGTCTTAATATTCTGTGTGATGAGGTGAAAAGTAAACATAAAGTCTACTGCATAGCAAAGTATATAGTTATTTTGATAAAAAAAATACTTGTGTGATTATTTAAATTGTGAATTGAACTTTTTTTTTCTTTCATTGAACACCACTTCTACTTGAAAACTAGACTGCAAACTGTGGTTATTCATACCTTGATATTTGCTAGACATTTTCTTGAAAATGAACAAAGTAAGTCAGTTACTTCAGGGAAAACCACTCACAGTATTTGTGGCCAATGATAAAATCCAAGCTCTAAAGCAAAAATTAGAATTCTGGAAGTCTTTTATCTGCCAGCATGAGCTTGAAAGTTTCACCTATACTTAAAGGCTGTTTTCTCTGACAGGTTTGCATATGATATTTTTAAAGAATTGACTTTATTCTTAGTACTCTAACATGATATAGGCCAGTATTTGGAAGCTCTGTGTAAATCAGTGAATCAAAAATTTTTAAATGACCATTCTCACTGCAAGTCACAACAATAAATTTTTATGTAACATAATCAAAAAGTAAACTGATACGGTTTTCACTAACTTAGTGTAGTACTATAGATTGTCTACACTTATGTGGAAACACTATTAAAATATTCCTCACTTTTCCAACTACTTATCTGTAGGAAGCTAGATTCTTTTCCTTTACTTCATCCAAAATGGCAAATCACAATGGATTGAATGCAAAAGCAGATACAGATTCCAGCTATAAGCTAGACAATAAACAGAACTTCAAAAACGTAAAACATTGCAACTCCTCTAATTTAAAAGAAAAAAAATTTTTACATTAATGGATTTTTATAATTTTGATTGAATATTTGAAACACTTCTTGGTTTAACATCTAATATGGTAAATATCAGTATGTATACAGATGCTTCTCAACTTATGATGAGGTTATTTCCCAGTAAACCCATTATAAGTCGAAAATATCTTTAAGTCAATGGTACATTTAATATACCTGGCCTATCTATCAAATATCATAGCTTACCCTACCCAGCCTTAAACATGTTCAGATCACTTAACATGGTCTACAGTTGGGCAAAATCATGTAACAAAAAGCCAATTTTATATAAAGTTAATAAAAAATTTTAAGTCAAAATTCAAAATATGGTTTCTACAGAAAGTCTATTGCTTTTCCCACCCCAACTTGTTATGGTTAAAAAGAAATCATAAATAGAACCATAGTAAGTTGGAGACCCTCTGCAATCCTCAAGAACTAAAGCTCCTTGGCATTGGGGTCTAAAAGGCTTGAGAATTGCTGTAGTAGATGGTCTGTGCTTCTTCCACTCCTGAGATTTTCATGACTCTATGATACTATACTAATTCAGTGCTTGCTGAAAGTGTCCAAGCAAAGGAATTTGTCCCTTTTTTGCCAGGAGTGCCAACACCCAGGCTTTACTATGATAGAAGATTTAGAGACAAGAAAAAGACACGTATTGTCCCTGTCCTCACAGAACTTCAGTCTCTGTGTGGAAGATATAAATCAGAAATTCACAAAAATAAATAAAACTACAGTGGAGTATGCTAGAGAGGAAAAGTAGTTGGAAAAGGGTCTTTCATCAGGAAACAATCCCCATGAAGTGACTGAGCCTGTAATAAAGAAGAGCCTCTCAGACCGAGGAAGCCACACATGGAAGGGTGCTGTGGTGGGGTGGAAAGAGCTATTGTGCTGTGTCACCAGGAGGGACGGATTGTGGCTGGCACACATGGACCGGGAAAACAGTGAAGCTGAACCGTGGAGCCCTTGGTGTACCATGGCAAGCACCTTGGCATTTATCCTTTGCAAGATACTTAGGAGGCTAATTTTTTTGTCTGTGTCGTAACTTCTCTAAACCTGTCCTTTATTTTCATTGTACCTCAAGCTCATTTCATAATAACTTGATTTCCCTTCCTGATCTTCTGCCATCTCCAAGAACCCCCCTCCTCTTTATTTACCTTGGCTGGTTCATCACTCTTGAATTTTAGTTCCTTTTCTTCTCTCCCCTTGTTTGCATTCCTCACACATTGACTCTTCAAATCTTTTCTTTTCTTTTCTTTTCTCTTTTTTCTCCTTCTTTCCCTCCCTCCCCCTCCCTCCCTCCCTTCCTTCCTTCTTCCTTCCTTGTTCCTTTTCTTTTCTCTTTCTTTTTCTTTTCTTTGCTTTTCTTTTCTCTTCCTTTCCTTCCTTCCTTCTCCCTCCCCCTCCCCTCCCCCCTCCCCTCCCATCCCCTTCCTTCCACTCCCCCTCTCCCTTCCCCTCCCCTTCCCTCCTCTCCTCCCCTCCTCTCCTCCCCCTCCCTTCCCCTCCTCTCTCCTTCCCTCCCCTCCTCTCCTCCCCTCCTCTCCTCCCCTCCTCTCCTCCCCTCCTCTCCTCCTCTCCTCTCCTCCTCTCCTCCCCTCCTCTCCTCCTCTCCTCCCCTCCCCTCTCCTCCCCTCCCCTCCTCCCCTTCCCTTTTCTCCCCCCTCCCCTTCCCTTTCCCTTTCCCTTTCCCTTCCCCTTCCCCTTCCCTTCCTTTTCCCTTCCCTTCCCTTTCCCTTCCTTCTTTTTCCTTTCTTTCAGCAGTCTCACTCTGTCCACCAGGCTGGAGTGCAGTGGTCCAATCTTGGCTCACTGCAACCTCTGCCTTCTAGTTCAAGCATTTCTTGTGCTTCACCCTCCCAAGTAGCTGGGATTACAGACACCCACCACCACACCCAGCTAATTTTTTGTATTTTTAGTAGAGACAGGGTTTTGCCATGTTGGCCAGGCTAGTCTCAAACTCCTAAACTCAGGCAATCCACCTGCCTCGGCTTCCCAAAGTGCTGGGATTACAGGTGTGAGCCACGTGCCTGGCCCAGACTTTCGACCTTTTTCACTCTAAGTCATCCTCTTCAACCTGACTGTCTGCATTTATGGACAGTAACTTGGCTTCCAAATTTAGTCACAAAGTTGAGAACATCCACATGAAAGATCTT